CTCTCTCTCGAAAATCACAAAAACGTTAATATCCGATCCGATATATATAGGCCTATATATATATATATATATATATAATATCTGTCAATCGTAGAAATGTATCTAAAAGGTAGCATATTTAAAATCGAAATGTTGTATGGTCTATCGTTACCCATTAAATAGTTGTTATGTTAACCCGTCTTTGAGTAAGTCATTTCCGGTGCGCTATCTCTCCCTCCATCCCGAATCGGTTCGCTCACACACGCGATCGTTCGCGCGAGAACCTAACAGTTTCTGTGTCTGTCCGTAAAGACACAGTGGTGTCAGTCCTGAAGAAACTTGTCATTGCGATCTTCGCCGAAGCGATGTCGACCCTTAGGTCACGTGGTGCCGAAGTATAGGCAGGCCCTTCGGCATTGTCACAATATGTTTGAAAATATTTTTAAATTTAATTGTATTTTTTAACGGGTGTTTGAATATTTTATAAAACAGGTTACTGTACACGATATTAATTTAATGATTACTACAGTTTATTTTTCTGTAATATCCGAGTGTTTGTATCATATTAAGATTTTCTGATATTGTCTGTTTATTTTTTCTATTGTTAATATTTTAACTTAGAATACATTCACCTTTTAATATGATACTACGTTTTAATTTTATCTAGTTTTGAATTCATATAAAATTTGTATATCATTTAAAAATAATAAAGTATCTACATGATGTAAGGATCTTTAAGAATAATACGAACCATATCAATTTAAAGGGTATCGGGGTTATTTATAGAGATTTAAAACCGTCACCAGCAATCCCTGGACTACGATTCGATAACCTGAGATTCCGAGATTTTGTCAATGTAATTTTATTTTCCTGTTTTAAGCCTCATGCCATTATACAATACTATCAATAATTAAGTTGTTATTCGTGACGAAGAACATTGAAACTACACTCGTCCAGCTAGAATAAACTATATATTATTAGTTTGTATAGCATATATTACTTTAGTACGTAATCTATTAGAGTTATATCGATTGTTCTGGTACACAGCGGACTCAAAAGCCTGCAACCCCATAAGAAAATGTTTAAACATAATAAAATAATTAAAACTCTGGTCTTTACATCAAAACCGAAACCGAAATTAAAATTAAAAATAAAATAAAGCTAATTAAATAATTAAAATGAAATCAGTTGAAACATAATATTTGGGCAAGAGTGGATAAAATACTTGTCGATTTAGTTATACAGTATTTCATGCAGGCAACCAGAGTTGAGTCTCTATAGCACTTCTTTGTAAAGTGTCAGTTTCGGTTTCGGAGATATAGATTATTTGAGATTATTACTCAAAATATAGGAAAACATTTTGATACACTTTTCAGAATGTACAGTATTCAATATCAAGAAGATTTTTATGTTATGAAGCATGCATCTTCATATTTAATGCAGGTTATTAAATTGGTATTATTGCATGAAAAAAAGAAAAAAAAAATAGAAGGCAAAAGGTTCAGAGTATCAAAATTAAATTACTTTCTTCATTAGAATTTATCTGTGTTTTGTAAAGAAGCAAGAATGTCTGAAGGTATCCTCAATCATGGCAGTTTACGTTTACTATTAATAAATGAATTATTGTTATTAAATATTTTTTAAAGATATTTTATTAAATTAATAAAAATATTTATTTGAAACAATAATTACATTTAGGAAAATTTTTATTAGTTATTTTCATTCTTGTATAATTACTAAAGGATTTTGCTGACTTCCACGTACAGTACAAGTACTTTTACAAGTATACTTTCATCTGTCTAATTCAGTATGAGGATTGCCTAACATGAACCGAGCTCAAATCCTCTTCGAAATGCAAATACCACTCATATTTATTCTTAATTATTTTTTATTAAAATTGCATAAAAAAATTTTTCTTTCACATTTTTTCCATCCGTGGGATTGCGCCTGGCCAACGGGTTGGCAACGTGCATTTTTCTAGGATTTATTCACGTTTGCAATACCTATCTAGGGGCCATTTCCCGTAGAAAGTCCTCTCTCGGCAGATCGCCTACGTATTGCGTTGCCTTAACGAAATAATCCAATAATCAAAACCACATCTTTAAATCTTTGAACAAAACATAGAACTTGTTTTTCGAATCGGTCGAACATCGTGATTTGTTTTTTGAGTGTCCACATAGGAAAACATTTCTATTCCGGGGTGACGTAGTTTTCTTCGCTACGCTATACATTTTACCCATTTCTTCGTTCCTAATATAAGCTATTCAGGCCGAAATATATATATATATATATATAATAACATAAATTATCGTGACGTTTTAATAAAACATATTAACTTTTACATCATTTTTCTCCTGGGTCTGTCAGCAAGAAACAAACAATCTTACACCTTTGGCTGACGAACTTTTATAATGCGATGCTGAGTACCAAACCATTTTTATAAAAAAATAGATAACAATAAATTCAACTAATTCAAATCGAAAAAAACAAGTAACCATTCGTCCTAGAAACACCATACACACGATCTCAAAAGACCCAATATGGCGACTGCCGTGGTGCATCAAATTATCGTGTCCAAACCTTGCGTTTATAGACCTTGTTCTAGAGACAAATTAATCAGTAATTCAAAATTACTATCGATGATATTTAGTCCGGTATTATACGGCAGTTGATGTAGCTTTATTTAGCTAATGGTTAAGTTTTTCCAAATTTTTATTGGGTCTGACTTTAAAATTCTATCTGAATATCTCCACGCAGTTTGGTCACGAATTACAGGTTTCTCTTTGTTACCCCGATGACGATAATGATGTAGTTTGGCAAACGTTGGTTCTGCTGTAATTGTTTTCGAATTGTCGATAGACTTCCAAGTAAAATGAATTCCCGGAATCTCAACTTTACTCGGAAGAACTATACCTTTTGTTCTCAAGTAGGGTTCCATGGGTGTAAAATGCAACGTCTTCTTTAGAATAGTTAGAGGAATGGTTGCGTTCTTAACTTCTGGATCATCTGGCAAATCTAATGAAAAAAACGTATTGCGGAACAAAAGAGTACTCCATGATGAGTTGTACGTTTTTATTATATCCATTAATGATATATTCTGTTGCGGCAAAATAAGTTCGTCGATGTCTACTATCACAACGTATTTGTGCGTTTTCGCGTATCGATACATACAATCCGCTATATTTGCCAAATGACCATAATCCCATGCGTCTCTTACATCAGTAGGAAGATTCCATGGAAACAAACTAATAGGTATACCTCCATCAATTGAAGCATTTAACAATAATTTAATGGAGTTTTTTGCTTTATAATCGTAAAATGTAAAATGTTGAACTCCCATTATCTGATAATACGCAATGAACTCTGCTAGCTGAAGATTATTATTAGGAAACTCTCCAAAAAAGGGTCGAACACAAACTGCAATGTTACTTTGCCAAATTTCATTACCTTTTACAGGTTCAGTAAGTGCCACTTTAATCCAATGAGTTGCGTTTTGTTTAGTCGATGTAAGAGCTACTCGTTCAGGAATATCGGATGCCTTGCAATAGAAAAACAATGATATGTGCTTTTGATAATGATCTTCTGGAATAAATTCATAATTAATGTCTGAACGCTTAACGGAACCATTGTTATATTTTAGCAGGCAAGAGAAAGTACTCAAATTTATTGGTTTTTTTGGACCTATTGCAATAATGCGAACAAAGGATGGTGTTTTTCGATATTCCCAATAAGCAGAATACACGTAATAATCTTCTTTAACATGAATCCATTTATTTATTATTAATTGCGATTGTGAATAATCAGAGTTATATGTTTTTGTATTTAATGAACGACTTACTGACCTTTTTACATGAAGATTGCTAGTCTTATTGATTTCAATATCTTTGAAAATTAATAACAATAATAGCGCTGCTATTATTATACACCATGGTAATATTCGTCTTACTTTCCTGACAGATATTATTCTTCTTACTTTAATCTGAAATGCTGAAATAAAATAAATTATCAAAGCTATTTTAATAATTTCATAAAATTAAAGATATTACAGAGGGAATGGAAAGTAACTAGGCATTGAGAAGTCGCTTTTTTTTGTAATAATTAGTCGACCAAAATATTTATATGATCGTTTATATCAATCAGTGGATGTTTATAATTCCCACATTATTGATGTGGGCAGTAACCGCGAGAGGCCTGCACATGCAGTGGCAAGAAAAGGTGGCCGATCGCTTGTCTGTTTAGGAGCGATGCAGATTACTGCACGCTACTAGGTATAGAAATCACTGTTTGCTATGCGCAGATGGTGGCTTATGGTCGAAGGATATCATGCTACAAATCTTTCTGAAAACAATCAAGAATTGTCATTTGAAGTTAACGCTCTAAGTTCTGTTGTGGACGCAGAGAAAAGTGCCGTCTACCTCATCACGATTTCCAGTGGTTCGAGGAAGATTGTGGATGGCATCAGTGACTACATTGAATTTTAAGACGAATAAATAATCTCCATATAATATGATACATTTCTGCGAGAGACTCTATGTGGTGATTTCTTGTAACCGTGANCGTTGCTGTTGTTCCAGTAAAGATCTTATTTTCACTTTACCGAGTGCCTAGTAGGTAATTTGCAGATTACCTAGATAATCTGCACATTACCTAGGTAATTTGAGAAATAGAACAATTTTAGCAACTTTAACGGATCACCCTAGTTCAGTGTTTCTCAACCTCTAATGAATCGTCGCTCCCTTCAACGTAGTATCGCCCCCTTCAATAAGACCGTTACGTAGTATCGCCCCCTTCACTTCAAAATTCCGATGCCGAGGGCCAAATTCGTACTGCATTGAATAGACTAGTGACTAGTATAATGTTATTTGTTTAATTATTGTACGATATAACGAATAAAATATCTAATTATTCTTAATTTAATGTTTTACTATATCGCCCAGAGAATTGTTTTTCGCCCCCTAAAATATAAATTGTTACTAATCGCCCCCTCAACAAGGAAAAACGCCCACATGGGGGCGATATCGCCCCCGTTGAGAAACACTGCCCTAGTTAATCTGCAGATTAGCTAGGTAATATACACATTAATGACTTTCGAGCTTTAGCGGTAACATCATAACAAACAAAACAAAACCGAGCAAACTAATAGTGTTTTCCGAAAAACTGATTCGAAAAAACAAAATTTTTCTGGTAAATTATTTCTCCTTTAGTAGTGTGGGTTAATTGGTAAAAAGTATATGGATGAGCCTTCTACCAGAGCCAACTCTGTGTTATTTTTAACCGATTACAGGCTAGACTCATTGTTAAAGCTTCTAAGGTGTAACATGCAAGAAACAAAAGTCGTCCTTTAAACTTGACTTAAGATTTTGGAGGCTTCATAAACATAAACACGTGTAAAAATTCTGCATGTCAGAAACAGAAACATTTGATTTATTCGCCTATTTTTACAGCAGTCACCGTAAACAGCACACACAGCAAGCATAGTTTTCAAATAACACGATATGTCTATACGTGGCGCTAACTTTCAGTTTATAGTGCAATTACTCGTGTTATCGTCTAACCCTGATTTATTCTACAGCATTTATCATTAAATTTTACTGTAAAATCAGATACACTACAAAGTATTATTGATTTGAGCTAAAAATGGAGTATAGCTAAAATAACTTTTAAGTCTGATCTTTTTTTAATTTTTAAAAAAATGCGAAAAATATTTATAATAAAATAAAGAATAAAACATACGTTTAACGCGCTTTTCGCGTTCTCAGTGCATTAAACTTCACTCATTTCGTAGGAAATTAATTTGAGTATATAAGATTTAAATTTAATAATCACAATTAGTCAAATTTTATTTCCAAAATAAAATTTTTTTAACAAATTTGTAAATAATGAAAATTATAAAGCAACAGCTGGTAAAATAGTCTATGAAGTATAGTTGTTTGTGTTATCCTGTAANGGTGGCTTATGGTCGAAGGATATCATGCTACAAATCTTTCTGAAAACAATCAAGAATTGTCATTTGAAGTTAACGCTCTAAGTTCTGTTGTGGACGCAGAGAAAAGTGCCGTCTACCTCATCACGATTTCCAGTGGTTCGAGGAAGATTGTGGATGGCATCAGTGACTACATTGAATTTTAAGACGAATCAATAAATTATCTCCATATAATATGATACATTTCTGATAATTTTTGTCTTTTTTTTTGAAATATAGAAATTACAGCGATTTCTCAATGCCTAGTTACTTTCGATCGATACTGTATGTTACAGAATAATTCATTTTGTCACATAATATAAAGTTTTTGTTCTGTTATAAACTTATTATAAATTTAATTTTTTAATTTTTAAAAATTTGAAACGTCATAATAGAAACATTAAACTTACAAAAACTATTCGTTATTAATAAAAATTCTTAATTATTTTTGTTAGACAATGGAACTTTAAAACTATTATACTTGAATATAATGGCAAATGCAGTATACATCTTCAAGTATAAGTTGCAAAATGTTCTTATTTTTCTCTCTCTCTCTCTCTCTCTCTCTCTTTTTTAAAATCAAAATTAAGTTACAGATAGTGAAATATCGGATATTTCCGACAATAATCTCCTTCGAAAATAATTCTATGGGTTTGCTCTTCCGGCTTTTGAATATATAATAGGTGGAATTGTGGTGATCACTAAAAAATGACTTCTGCGATTTTGCATTTTTGGACTCATGGGACCTTGAAACGTCGAGAAATGAAAAAAAAAATCGGTTTTTTTCCCTGTATGCATATGGGTACACGATTTTGTTCACTACTTTGAAGCTTTAATAACTCCTGTGCCTTTTGTTGAAAATGTCTGATATTTCGCGGTTTATGTATTGGGAGGTTCCTCTGCCTGCTTCTTGCCTGTGTTGGTGCGCTTTTTGCTGAGGTCTACTTTCTTGGGCTGTTTTTTGTTATTTCAGTTAGTATTTGTATTCAGTTTTTCGGTCTCAATAGGCTAGATTTTCATTTTTAGGTGTTTTTCATTTGTAGGCTTAACTAACTCAGTTTCTGTTTTGGCTTTGCTAAGCAGAAACAGTTAGTTTTTTTGATTTAATCGTGTTAAATTTACTCCTTTTCAACTTCCACTCGATCAACTTCTTGTTTTTCACTGACTTTTGTAAATTTTCAGTTTTTAGGGTGTTTTTCAGTTAGTTAGGTCTTAGTCTAGGTCTAAGTTAGATAGTTCTGTTTTTGTAGTTAGTTATTTTTCAGGTGTTTAGCTTCCTCTATAATTTTGGTTTTTCTCAGTCAACTAGTTTTCGAGTTTTTCGGATTTTTCTGGTTTGCTTGTAAGTTTGCCGATTGGGGGGAGGTTTTTATTCCCTACCGTCGGGATGGTCTAAGGTCTACGCGTATGTGGGTGGTGGCGAAGGAGGCAAATGAAGAACAAGTGTTTTACAAGAGAAAACCCGTTTATTTGTTCTAATTCATGCTTATAATCAATATTGGACAATTTCAAAATCTCGGTGTTCCTATGAAACGGTGAGAGTTCTGATTATCGGTCGTAGTCCGGGCGGACGAGAAGGATCGCTGGACGATGCAGATGTTCGGTGTTAAGCTGCGGCGTCCTAGGTGATCGGCGGTAGCACAACACAATAGATAAAGCACAACTGTGGGCTTAATCCAGAGGAGACTCTTCTTCGGCCTTGAAGTTCCGATTTTTATAGTTTTTCCCCCACGATTCACATTTCAGATTGGTCCCTCGTCCCATTCCTCGCTTCCCGATTGGTCTCTCCTTTGTCTCCAGGTGCAAGACGAAACCTTTTTGGGTCGCGGGAAAGGTTCGATTCGAGGTGTTCATCTGATACCTCTTTGTCGACTCTACTCGGTGACTGTTTATAAAACAATAGAGAGGTTGAGGCACACGTGTTAAACGTGTAAACGTGTACGTGTGACGTTCGGCGCCGCTTTCCCGTAAGCCTAAAAGTTTGACAATGGTGTTTGGATAGTCGGTGGAATCACGCTCGACATTCCAAACACCATCGTCAAACTTTTAGGCTTACGGGAAAGCGGCACCGAACGTCACACGTACACGTTTACACGTTTAAAACGTGTGCCTCAACCTCTCTAATAACACCTGCACTCATAACTCAGGCCGTTGTTTATACCATTTTTTGACGTCTAAGAATTTAACGATCATTTTCATCTTCTATCTATCAAAAATTTCCCTTTTTTTGTTCGAAAAGGTTTATCTCGGCCAACATTTTATAGACTCGCGAGTCAATGATCTACCTATTTATGAGCGCTCATGTTAGAGTTTGTCTTCCGCTAAGACCTTGACAGATAGTTTGGCACATACTCGAACCGTTCCGAGTCTCGTTGTTTACATTTTGTGTCGCGCAAGAATTTCACGGTTTATACGAGTTTGAACCTCGTCTGGGAACCCTGCAATACTGAAATACTGAAAAACCTGAAATACTGCAATACTGCAATACTGAAAAACCTGAAATACTGCAATACTGAACGGTGACCATGCAATACTGCAATACTTTTTCAGTATTGCAGTATTGCAGTATTTCAGGTTTTTCAGTATTTCAGTTTCAGTATTGCAGTATTTCAGGTTTTTCTGAGTTGTTCTTTAGCCTTTTCGGTTGTAAGTTCATGTAGTTAGGCCTTACTAGGCCAGTTTAAACTGCCTAGCCATTTTCATAGCTTTTTCGGTGTTAGTTAGCATTTTGGCATTTTCATGGTTCCTGTTTTTTGTAGTTAGATTTCCCTTTGTAATTCGATCATTTTCCCTTAGTAGGTGCTTTGTTCCCTTTGTTAGTTTCGTCTTTCTAGGCCACCTCGTTTTCGAGTTTTTCGGTTATACTGCTTTGCAGTAGTTTGTTCTCCTGTTCTTTTCCTTGGTTTAAGTTAGAAGTTATTTGTTTTAAGATAGTTTAAGGGTCTTTTTAGATGGCGTGTCATTCTAGTGCTGGAAACATTGGGGCCAGGAGCCCATGCTCGGACGTCTCGTCGATCCATAAAAAGCCTAGGGAGCTTTTGGACATTAAAAAACCTGAAATATAATCGTCTATTCCATTCGAGACTACGCTTCTAGCAGCTTCTTGATTTTGGTATATCTACCAGTGATTTCCAAACTTTTTAGAGCTACCGTCTTCTCGGTTCCAGAAAGTTATAACCAACGTTTCCCACCGTACTCGAATGCCCCCTAACCCATTTTTCCTTGTATGAGAAAGGCTTTGAAATATTCTTAGAAAAACTTTTTTATGAATCACACTTTAAGTCTCTACTGGACATTGTTGTCAACATCTGAATTAAACGCAATATTTTAAAAGGGGAAAGGGAAGGGTTGTCAGTGACACCAACCTTTGCCTATGGTCACCGTTCAGTCTGTCTCCGACACCCACTTCCGCCCACTTGTTCCTTTTCACCTCCCTAGATTTACTCACCACCCACAAGGGAGAGCGATAGCGCCCACTTTGGGAACCACTGATATATACAGTACATATATATGTTGTAGTATTAAGTGTTTTGTCATCGTCAGACATTTCACCCGTTACGAAGCATCAGTTTAGATAGTATCGATCAGTTTATGGTCAATAATATTTTTACGTAAAGAGCAAATTTTTCAAAATTTCAATAAGGACCGAATTACTGATAGCCGCAAGAAATATACGTGTAAATGCACTTTAAATTCATAAGAATTATAATAATTAATGACTTAGGCTGTGTACACACTAGGCGTTTTTAAACGAGCGTTTAGCGGAGCGTGCGCACTGGCTCGGTTTGGAAATGGATGTGGAAGTGATTACTTGTGTATGGCTCCTCTATCGTCGCTATAAAAGACGGCGGCAGAGGCAAAGAGAATTTTGGGTGCACCCAATATTACGAGATAGACTGACGCATGAAATGTTTGTGACGTTGTATCCAAAACTAAGACAAAATAAATTCAAGTTTCTTAATTCTTTTAAAATATCTATAAAATGATTTGACGACTTACTCCATATTATAAAAGTAGATATTACCCAAAAGCGCGCGATCGAATATACAGCAAAATGGCAGCGTAAATCTAGAAGCGCCCGTAAAGCGCCGGGAAAACGCGCGATCGCATGTACGGTAACATGGCAGCACATATATCTCAAAGCGCTCGGCAAAACGCGCGTTTTAACAAAAATCTATAAACGCGCGTTTAACGCGCGTTGAAAAACGCCTAGTGTGTACAGGCTCTTATTCTAAGGTACAAACCTAATTATTATTAACATTGATTTTAGAAGAAATAATACCGAGAAATGATTGGAATAAACTGTCATTGAATGAAAATACAATGGACATTGTAAATGAAATATGCAAAATAATTTTTAGCACGAAGGTGAAGAATTTTCGTTATCTACTCTGTTGCTGTGTTGTAATTTATATCTTATATTTATCATTACTCTTTTTATTTCAATATTATTTGAAAAATTTTTTTTCGTCGTCATCCTATTTCCATTTTGCGTTTCTTTTGCTTATCTATTTTGTGTATTTTTTTGTTAGTCGTTGTAATACCGTCTCGTTTAAAATTAATTCTCTTAATGAATTAATTTTAAACGAGACCGTATTACAACGAAAAATAACAAAATACACAAAAATACGGAAAGTGAATACGGAAAAGACAGTCTTGCAAGAATGGCCAGCGTTAATTAAGATAAGTCTGGCCATTCTTGCAAGACTCTCTTTTCCGTATTCACTTTATTTTACTTTTCCATGCCATATCCACATTTTTTTTTTCCATTAAGTCGTAGCTGTACTGTACATATACCAGTCATAATTTTTTTAAACAGCTAGACACGTACAACTTTCGTATTGGTAATGACTACGTACAACGTAAAAAGTTTCCTTGATTCAATCAGTTTTAAGTTTAAGCTCTAGAAATTGATCATGCAATACAAAATAGATGGGCATTGATAAAATAAAATATTAATATTATGTTATTAATATTGTACCTATATTTTGAATGAATTTTTTTTCTGAAATAACTATAAATAGCCTATATAAGTAAGCTTTCAGAATGTTAAATATTCTTTCAACTGACTTAGAAAACGCCAATGTTTCTTTTTTCGGATTTAACTGTCCCGTTACATCGGATTAATTAATGGCATAAATTTTTAAATAGGCTACGGATCTTTAAAAATGGCTTCGTTTAGAATTGTACAAGTAGTACCTATGTTATGTCAATGTACAAAATAGTTACTATAAATACATATATAGGATATTGTGAGATTAGAAAAGAGATGCAACAACTCAAAAACGAATCTAAAGATAAACAGAATATCTAGAGAGATCACCAATTTCACGTATATCGAAAATAGAAAAATTCAATCAATAGTATAAAATGATATACAATATAAGAATTTAGAAGTATATTGTACAAAATTTGAAATAACAAGACAATGTTGTAAATGTCTGTATGCAAGGGAAGTTCAATTAACAAAATTGAACTCTCCTTGCATAAAAATCTAATACATGCAATGGCAACATTGTGTTGCAATAAAAAATTTTTCTTTTTGAGTTTCATAACATGTCATCAATATGGAAAAATAAGCCTAGTGGGTCCAAAGAGTACTTTTCGTTTTCTCACATCTAACTTATACATAAATAAGTACCTTTAAAAATGTTGCAATGTAATAATTAGTTTGGGCCTGATAGTGTTATATAATGAAAAACATAAATTAGAAAAAACAACTGGTAAGGACTCTTGAACGACTTTCCTTATACTCGAACGTGCGGTTAAGAGGATCAAGAAACGAAATCAGACAATTTTCAATAATACTATGATATAAAATTTAAATAATAATAACAGTTTAATAGAAATAATTTTTTAAAATTATGATAATTTTTTTAAGAATAACTTTAAAAATGGATTGTTACTGAAACACTAAGAATATTGTTTAAATTATCTGTGGCTCCATCTATTATGAGATTTTATTCAGAAAATTTTTATGATAATTATTATTAAAGACAAAAATCTTATTTTGGAGAAAGGAGGTAGTTTTTAAAAATTGTAAAAGCCAATAACAGATAAAATTTTCATTCAGTCTAGCTTCAGTGAAGATGTGACATAATTATGATTCTCCCCGCCCTCTTGACTTTTAACTACAAAAATTTATTTGCATCAATGCCCCATATAAAGAAATACTCCTGTCAAGTATCAAAATATTTGGCTTTTTCCAGTCCTGAAGTATAATAAAAGAAAACTTAATTACTTATAATTAACAATTATTTTCTCATACTATAGGCCGTTTTACAGATACTTCGCGCCAATATAAAAATATAGCCTATTCAACACATGTCTGGGAATGAGCTGGCGCACCTGCTACACTGTCATGTCCATTTTGTCGAATTATTTATTTTATTTTACTGAATGCATTAATTTATTATTATGGTGGCATTTTAAAATGAATTAATCTTTTTCCCTGGATATATATTTAAGTAGCGCTTATTTTAGCGCTGGAACAAGCAAGCATCATATACATGCACTCATGCAATGCTGAAAAGATCTCTTTTATCTCTCGATAGGTCATCCTGTATAATAATACTATTTACAAAACATCTTCAGTTTGAAAGTATGGAAATCACATGATTTGATGACAATAATGTCATTTGCAACGTTTTATAATTTACAGATACTGAAGTGTTCTTTCTCTATATTTAATATTTATAGAAAAAATCGTTCTCAAGTAGGCCTATTCATTGACGCTGTTTAGAAACGCATACATCGAGGTTTGACTTTATATTTAAGATTATTTTGTAAATCGAAATATTTAATTTACAGAAACTTTTAAAGTTTTCTTTCTTATACGTCTATGAGTTTTTCTGTAAAAATCGACAAGATTATACCCTTCTAAATCTAAAAATGAATAAATATTGTAACTCCTTTTCTCGTGTTATATAATTGTCTATCTGAATAAATTATAATTATAAAATAAAACAATTATTACTTTTAATATTGAAATTTTTAAATAATAACTCCTTTGTCTTTTGTCGAACATTTCAGAAATTTTCGACAAAAGACAAAGGAGTCATTAAACTTCAAAGTAGTTTAACAAAATCGTGTCCCCCCACACACACTAACATACACACAGAAAAATTGCCAACTTATTTTCTGGATATTTTAAGATCCGCTGCGTCCAATAATGTAAAAGTTTTCGGGATCATTTTTTACCGATATCCATCCATAACTTTAATTTGTTTTACAATCTCCAGGAAAGTAAAATGAAAAAGAATGAACTTACCTGTACAAACTGATACTATTATATATTTGATTTTAGGAAACATAATGCTTTATTTATATATAAATATAAAGATTATAGATGTCAGGAAACAAATATATACACTCCTATCTATTCTAATTTATCCACTTCTACTACAACTGCTGTTTCCCGTGCATAGTTACAGGATAACACAAACAACTATACTTCATAGACTATTTGACCAGCTGTTGCTTTATGATTTCCAATATTTACAAATTTGTTTAAAATTGACTGATTATAATTAAACACAAAAATTCACACCTAAATGCTAATTCCAGCAGTAGTTAAACAAAAATTTTAATGTTCGAACGTTTTCGGCAGTCTTTTAGAGGCCCTCCTCAGGAATGTATGAAACACACACACATACACACAAAAACAGTTCTATCATTTGAAAACTTCTATCCGTCGAATACAGCTGTGTTCCAAATTTTTAAATATTTAAACGATGTACCGTACGATATAAAAATCGTTACGTTTACAACATAAGAATTAATTATTTTTAAATAAAATTAGCGCGATGTACAACACGTCTGTTGGGTTCTGTTTTGATTGTAAATTTGATCTTTTAAGAAATTTTAAGCTTGTAATCTGATTGATTATATAATTAATACCCTTTATTCCAAAATGCATTTTATCACTTTAATAAGCATAAAGTATATGAAAATTGTAATACAAAACAAAACAATAATATAGGGTAAACCAGGGTTAGATGGTAAATAATTCTGGAAGCTGTAAGTGTGAAAATAAACTTTATTTTAAAAACTGACTAACCTGTTGATTTATTATCATTGTTACCGCTAAAGCTCGAAAGTCGTTAATGTGTACATTACCTAGCTAATCTGCAGATTAAGTAGGGTGATCCGTTAAAGTTGTGAAAACTGTTCCATTTCTCAAATTACCTAGATAATGTGCAGAGTATCTAGGTAATCCGCACATTACCTACTAGGCACTCGGTAAAGTGAAAATAAGATCTTTGCCACAAATATGTGTGCTTGTCGCAAAAACCAATTGCTATGAAATTCAAAGTGTCACCAATCTTTAGACTGCACTAATAAGTAAGCACAATTGGATAATATTACTTATGGTGAGTAAAATGGCAGATCGTCTCTGATTCCAGCAAAGAGAAGAAAGGAAACAGTGGGGACGCACGTTCAAACCTAACCTAACCTAACCTATTCTAATAATTTGGTTGGTAATAATTATGGTAATTTATTAGAATAGGTTAGGTTAGAACGTGCGTCCCCACTGTTTCTTTTCTTCTGTTTGCTGGAATCAGAGACAAGTTGCCATTTTACTCACCATAGGTAACATTAACTGCACAATTATATCACGCGGTCACAGAAAAAGTATGATAACTTTATTATTTTTCGTCTCCGGTCCAAAAGTAGGGTATCGTTGAAGTCGACTCGGTCCCCTCAGTTCAGATAGATACTCAAAGTCCCGAAATTCCATAGGTGGTTATCTATATAATAATTTCCCTAATTGTATTAATATTTTAAACCGTTTGATTTTTTTGTATGTTTTTTAATTGGTTGATGATTGATTCTATCAAGTAATTTGTTGATTGTTTGATTGTATTAACTTGATTCTTTAGATATCAAAAATTAAATAAAGAACATTATGTTAATTTAAACGTACAGAAACGTTGCTGTTGTTCCAGTAAAGATCTTATTTTCACTTTACCGAGTGCCTAGTAGGTAATTTGCAGATTACCTAGATAATCTGCACATTACCTAGGTAATTTGAGAAATAGAACAATTTTAGCAACTTTAACGGATCACCCTAGTTCAGTGTTTCTCAACCTCTAATGAATCGTCGCTCCCTTCAACGTAGTATCGCCCCCTTCACTTCAAAATTCCGATGCCGAGGGCCAAATTCGTACTGCATTGAATAGACTAGTGACTAGTATAATGTTATTTGTTTAATTATTGTACGATATAACGAATAAAATATCTAATTATTCTTAATTTAATGTTTTACTATATCGCCCAGAGAATTGTTTTTCGCCCCCTAAAATATAAATTGTTACTAATCGCCCCCTCAACAAGGAAAAACGCCCACATGGGGGCGATATCGCCCCCGTTGAGAAACACTGCCCTAGTTAATCTGCAGATTAGCTAGGTAATATACACATTAATGACTTTCGAGCTTTAGCGGTAACATCATAACAAACAAAACAAAACCGAGCAAACTAATAGTGTTTTCCGAAAAACTGATTCGAAAAAACAAAATTTTTCTGGTAAATTATTTCTCCTTTAGTAGTGTGGGTTAATTGGTAAAAAGTATATGGATGAGCCTTCTACCAGAGCCAACTCTGTGTTATTTTTAACCGATTACAGGCTAGACTCATTGTTAAAGCTTCTAAGGTGTAACATGCAAGAAACAAAAGTCGTCCTTTAAACTTGACTTAAGATTTTGGAGGCTTCATAAACATAAACACGTGTAAAAATTCTGCATGTCAGAAACAGAAACATTTGATTTATTCGCCTATTTTTACAGCAGTCACCGTAAACAGCACACACAGCAAGCATAGTTTTCAAATAACACGATATGTCTATACGTGGCGCTAACTTTCAGTTTATAGTGCAATTACTCGTGTTATCGTCTAACCCTGATTTATTCTACAGCATTTATCATTAAATTTTACTGTAAAATCAGATACACTACAAAGTATTATTGATTTGAGCTAAAAATGGAGTATAGCTAAAATAACTTTTAAGTCTGATCTTTTTTTAATTTTTAAAAAAATGCGAAAAATATTTATAATAAAATAAAGAATAAAACATACGTTTAACGCGCTTTTCGCGTTCTCAGTGCATTAAACTTCACTCATTTCGTAGGAAATTAATTTGAGTATATAAGATTTAAATTTAATAATCACAATTAGTCAAATTTTATTTCCAAAATAAAATTTTTTTAACAAATTTGTAAATAATGAAAATTATAAAGCAACAGCTGGTAAAATAGTCTATGAAGTATAGTTGTTCGTGTTATCCTGTAAGTATGCACGGAAAATAGCAGTTGTAGTAGAAGTGGATAAATTAGAATAGATAGGAGTATATATATTTCTTTCCTGACATCTATAATCTTTATATTTATATATAAATACAGTATAAATACAGCATTATGTTTTCCAAAATCAAATATATAATAGTATTAGTTTGTAGAGGTAAGTTCATTCTTTTTCATTTTACTTTCTTGGCTATTATAAAACGGATGGAAAGTATGGCTATCGGTCAAAAATTATTCCGGAAATTTTTACATTATTGGACGCAGAAGACATAAAAATATCCAGAAAATAAGTTGGAAATGTTTCTGTGTGTATGTTAGTGTGTGTGGGGGGGACACGATTTTGTTAAACTACTTTGAAGTTTAATGACTCCTTTGTCTTTTGCGAAAATTTCTGAAATGTTCGACAAAAGACAAAGGAGTTATTATTTAAAAATTTCAATATTGAAAGTAATAATTGTTTTTCTATAATTATAATTTATTCAGATAGACAATTATATAACACGAGAAAAGGAGTTACAATATTTATTCATTTTTAGATTTAGAAGGGTATAATCTTGTCGATTTTTACAGAAAAACTCATAGACGTATAAGAAAGAAAACTTTAAAAGTTTCTGTAAATTAAATATTTCGATTTACAAAATAACTTAAATATAAAGTCAAACATCGATGTATGCGTTTCTAAACAGCGTCAATGAATAGGCCTACTTGAGAACGATTCTTTCTATAAATATTAAATACAGAGAAAGAAAACTTCAGTATCTGTAAATTATAAAACGTTGCAAATGACATTATTGTCATCAAATCATGTGATTTCCATACTTTCAAACTGAAGATGTTTTGTAAATAGTATTATTATACAGGATGACCTATCGAGAGATAAAAGAGATCTTTTCAGCATTGCATGAGTGCATGTATATGATGCTTGCTTGTTCCAGCGCTAAAATAAGCGATACTTAAATATATATCCAGGGAAAAAGACTAATTCATTTAAAATGCCACCATAATAATAAATTAATGCATTCAGTACAATAAAATAAATAATTCGACATAAAAGGCATATGACAATGTAGCACAGCAGGTGCTCCAGGTCATTCCCAGACGTGTCTAGTGGATAGAACTGTTTGCTTACCGTCAGATAGGACATGTTCTTTACAGTGACAGATTATTTGTATGTTATACTAAATTGCCTTAAATTGATTCCCTTCGGTTATTTTAGTTATTTTCGATACTTATCGTTTAGCACCGCACTGGATTTCCTATGAATTTCAGAGTCGAAAAACAATGGAGTTAAATTGATTTTTTGTTGTAATTTATGGAAATAAAAACCACGCGCATAAAGAGTGTGAAATAAATATTACTATTACTATAAAATGGAGTGTTCAATGAAAGAAATATACCTTAAATTGCAAGGAGCCAATAAATTGTAAGGTTCAACTTATCCAATAGGATATTGATATTCTTTACTCATTGTCCAATAACTATATTTTAACGTAATCCGAAGAATTAATTTTATTATTCTTCCCTTATATTAAAGTTACTTAATAATACTGTATTTGAATGTTATTGGAAATTATTATACAACGAATTTTAGCACTGTTAACTAAAATAAAGCAAATAGGCATAGTAGTGACGTCATGCGTTAGCCTGGAAAATGGGAACCGGTAATCTTGTTGTTATAGCTAAAAACCAGTGGCGTGCTGTGACATTTGATGATAGGGAAGCTGTGTTTCTATAAGAAGCCGACTTCCAGGGGCAATCAGTTAATTCTTTCTTTAAATGTATTTTTAATAGATTATTTATCTGACGTAGCCTACTTAATAAATAAACAAGTTCAATATAATTACCTCTGTTATTAGATCCAATATATTCCATAAGCCCTCTAAATGCCAATTCTTGCTTCGATATAAACATATAACATCTATTTATTTAGATATAATATATCTATTAGCCGTAACTGTCTCGTTATAATTTTCAATATTTATTTTATATTATTTACTAATGTTAAATTCTATTCCGCTTCGATTTCCAAATTGCTTCAAATACGAAAGAATCGACGATTTTTCGTGTCTTTTGCCAGCTAAATTGTCAAAGCAATTTTTATTCCACACACTAATTTCATTTGAAAATAGTAGGCAAGCCAACAAAACAATTTTTGCATTTTTATGCATTTACAGAGCCATTTTATCGTGAAAATGTCGAACAAATTTTTTTATTGAAGTGTTTA